ATATATATATATATATATATATATATATATAGTAGGTTTTTATTTTATTTTATAATTTTCATTTTTTATATATATTTAAATTCAAAAATAATAACCAATAACTAATTATAAACTAAATAATTAATTATGCTATGTGGCTTTTTTTTAGGTTGCCACTTGGCTTAAGGAGAGAGCTTTTTCTTCTCCTTTTAATAATATATATATAGATATATAGATTATATCCTGTGTAGTTTGGAAAAGGGCCATATATGCCTTCTACTTCATTTATTGTCCAATCATGCCCATCATTATACTTTCTATTCAGATGTATCCATGTCATCCATCAAAATTATATATTTGTCCCTATTTTAACTGTCAAGACACAGTGGTATCTTCGGAAAGACTAAACCAACCCAACATTAAAGAAACCCCTTTTACTCTTTCTAAATACAAAACCCCGTAAAACTAAATAATCAATCACTCCTCTTCAATATTCAGTAAGTGAAAAAAAAATTCCAGCTAGGATTTTCTTGCGGTGATAAAATTCTCGATTGAAGGCTCTACAGTTACAAAGGTGCTTTCTTTCTTCAAAAATTTATTGATCCAATTTAGTCTAGTTGTATTTTATCGAATTTTGTTGGAGAATATGCATATCTATTTCTTGATTCGAACTAGGATTCAGTGGCTCTTAGGGTTGGGCATAAAATCCGAAAAAATAAATTTCGAACTAGACCGAACTAATTTGGTATTTCGGTATTCTTTTATTCGGTATTTCAATATTCTTTGGTATATTTTTTTTTAATATTTTGGTATTTTGATATTTTGGTACGGTACTTGGCATTGAGTTTATGATATTTTGATAGACCGAAATACCGAAATATTTAAATGCTACACTAACCAACGCTGGCATCCCACCTCTAATTCTATTTTCCAGTTCAACACTTACACCCCAGCTGCCCAACATCCCAAGCCCCAACCTAGTATCTGTTCCCTTTCCCTTAGTCTTTCCCTCATTTTTCTTATCTTAGGTTTCTCTCAAAAAGCAACAAACCAACGTCGGCAAATTCGTAATTCACGACTACGGACTACCGAAAGTGCGAGTGCATGTGAACTTCGGGAGTGAGTGTTTTCTTTCTCCGATCTGCTCCTAGACGATTCCAGGTTAACAAACCTTTTCAGATTTTCTCCAATGTACTTAGTTTTTTAGATTTTCTCCGATAAATTTATCATTTTTATGTAGTATGCTAATTCATTATATAGTAATTCATCCTTAATTAAAACATAAAAGTTAAGTTGTTAGAATCTGACGATTATTTTTCATGCATATTGTAGGCATATAAATTTTACATAAATTAAATCCATAAAATAATTTGGACTACATTTTAAATTCGAGATATATTGGTCCAAATAAATATTATGAGCTAATATAATCGAATTAATTATATAAGTCCAACACATATGGGTTAAATAAATAAGTCTTAATCCATTGGGCTAGCCCATTTAATTGGGCTAAAGTGATGAGCCGAATTCATTAGGCCCAAGATGTCATCTTCCTAGAGGCCTTTGGTGCCACGTGTCAAATGACGTGGCGTGCCAAGTCAAACGGAAGAGTCAATGGGATCATGCCACGTGTTAAAATGACAAGGCATGCCAAGTCATACTAAAAGGCCAATGAAGTCGCGCCACGTGTGAAAGTGACATATTCTGGCCAATCAAATGCGGCCATGTCATACTTCAATTTGATTAGTCAGAAAGAGTTTGTTCTTATCATGACTCTTCTCTTCCATAGCTATAAATAGGGGCCTTCATAACTCAGAAAAGACACCAGAAGTTATAACAAGAAGCAAGAAAGAGCTTGTGGATCAAACGCTGCAAAATCCTCCACAAGTTTCAAGCTTCAAGTTCAAGGTTCAAGCTTAAGAACGAAGAACAAATCAAGTTCAAGCTCAAGAAAGAATAACGAATCAAGGTCAAGTTCAAGCAATCAAACTCAAGCTCGAGAACAAGATCATCGTTCGTGGCAACAAACATAGATTCAAGATCAAGCTCAAAGGCCTTTGAATTTATTTACTATTGAAAAGTAGAATCAGAGGATCCATAGAGATTGTACACTCAAATATTCGAAATAAAATACTATGATTGTTGCGATATTTTCGGTCTTGATTTTATTTTCTCGACGCAAATTTATTGTCTACAAATTCTGGCACGCCCAGTGGGACAATCTCTACCTCTCATCTCAACTTTTCATTCACCAAATACCAAGAACATTGAAATGGCTTCAAAGAAAATCTACTCCGGTTCAACTTCTACCAAGGCTGCTAACTCCAGGTTCTATGATGATGTGGAAAACATCCTCGATGCCACCTTTGGAAGCTTCGGACCAGTTACGAGGAGCAAAGCAAGCTCTTTAGGATAACAAGCACCCCAAGTGACGTCTGCATCAACCTCTGTTTTCTGATCTTCATCCTCAAAAGGAGCAAGATCTTTCACAAACGCATCTGAAGGAGGGAGCGATGTTGCTAAAAAGATCAAGAAAACTCTTACTCTACTTGACCTCTAGGCTCCAAGCACTCTACTGTGAAGGGAGATGATGATGCTTCAAGTGATGGATCTTCCCCACTTACACCACATAGTGTGAGCCAATCAAGGATCAATCTGTGTGAAAATCCATGCTACTCTCCGTCATCCACGACAATCATGCAATCCATGGTGACAAACACTTCATCTATGGAGGAGCAATTGTCAAACTTGACGGAAGCAATCGCCGGCTTGACCAAATACATGTAAAATCAAGAGGCTAGAGTTGACAAGCTAACGGACAGGGTGGGAATCTTGATAGAAGAAGAATCTACCCATGCACCCAGCAAGCTCCTAGAAATTCTAGAGAGCGACTCTCCCCCAAGACAAGCAGAATCCACTAAGGCTATCCCTGTCTCATCCGAAGGGATGATTCCAATCGATTAACTGAAGGAGTTCATCGAAGGAACCATTAAGAACAAATATGAAGTTGCTGCCAAATCTTCCCTTACATATGCAAAGCCGTACACTGCAAGGGTCGATATGTTGAAGATGTCTGTTGGCTATCAACCTCCGAAGTTTCAACAGTTTGATGGTAAAGGTAACCCAAAGCAACATGTTGCGCACTTCGGTGAGACATGCAACAATGCTGGGACTTATGGAGATTACCTTATCAAGCAATTTGTCCGCTCGCTAAAAGGAAATGTTTTTGACTGGTACACGGACCTCGAGGCTGGATCTATCGACAACTGGGATCAACTAAAGCAAGAATTTCTCAATCGCTTTTATAGCATAAGACGCACGGTGAGTATGATAGAGCTTACAAATACTCGTCAACGAAAGGGGGAACCAGTTATCGACTTTATCAATCGTTGGAGGAATGCAAGCCTCAACTGCAAAGACAGGCTTAGTGAAGCTTCAGGCATAGAGATGTGCATCCAAGGCATGCATTGGGGATTGCGCTACATCTTGCAAGGTATCAAGCCCGGCACATTCGAAGAACTTGCAACTCGTGCCCATGACATGAAATTGAGCATGGCCTCCACTGGAAATGAAAGGTTGCCCATCTATGAACCTCGCAAAGGGAATGACAAGCAAGAAGTCAGGAAGTGGGGAAAGTTCATACCCAAGTCTGAAAGAAAAGAAGCTATGAATGTCAACACGTCACCTATGAAGTTCACGACGAAGGTGAGCAAGAAGCAGAGTAATATTTCTGTCAGATTATCATACTGTTAATTATTGTTATTACTATATTTTGTCTCAGTATGGCCCTGACCTTCCTCGTCACTACCCAACCGAGGTTAGGCTTGGCACTTACTGAGTACCGCTGTGGTGTACTCATGCCCTTCCTGCGCATGTTTTTCATGTGCAGATCATCCAGGTACCTCTACTCAGGCGCCCTATCAGTGAGGCAGGAGGACTACGGAGACTTCGAGGTAGATCTATTGCGTCCGCAAACCGACGAGTCTCCCTCTTATTCTATCTTTAGTACTTAGTTTTTCCTTCTTTTGGTTGTTAGAAATTCTGGAGTTTTGGAACCTTTACTATACACTTCTGTAGCCTGTGTTGCCCGTGAGTTTCCGGGTTTTGGGAATTGTTTTAGGCTTGTGATATTGAGTTGTACTTGCCAAGCGGCATTCAGTACAGTTTCCTTTAGATACCTGATTTGATTTTCTCTATTTTTCCGCAAGTATTATATTTCCGCAGATGTTAGGCTTACCTGGTCATGGGGACCAGGTGCCGTCACGACATGTTCACGATTGGTGAACTAGGGTCGTGACAAGGATCTGGGGAGGGTTTCCCTTTTTTAGAGAGGGTGGGGCCCAATAGGGGAGTTGTGATAATTGTAAAAGTTTGTGGTTTTTCTTAAACCTAGTTATAAATATTAAACACTAACATTGAAAGTGTCTTTTTTACACCAATCTTAACACTTTTGTCTTATAAATTGCTTTAAATGTTCAAAAGTCCTATAAATTAATTTTCCCTCACTTTACTTATGAATAAATTCGAATTATTCAAATTTTAACTCATTTAATATTTTTTAAAATTATTTATTAGCTTTGAATATGAGTCCATTAAAAAAATTATACAAAATCTAATCACTAAACATTATTCAGGGATCGTTTGGTACGGGATAAGGGACAGTTAATCTCGAAATTAAATTTGAGATGAGTTTATCCCATGTTTTCAGATTCAGATTAGCCCCCCCAGCTAGCGAATTCTCGACGCCGGCGACCACCTTCCCTATCCATTGTCTCCTCCGCCTTCTGCTTCGTAGCTTCAGTCCCTCCCCCCACATCCGTTGTCTCCTCTTTCCTAGTTAACATAGAGTAAGGGATAACCGATCTATTTAGGTAATACATTACTAAAGTTTTACCATTTTTTTTCTTTGAGTTTACATTGAATAGCTGCTTTGTTTTGGTATTCCGGATCTATTCAGGTAATATATTTTAAATTTTTGTGAATTTGTAGGATATTTGGATATTGATTAGTGGCAATTAGATTTCCCTACTCTAGATTTAAAATTAGTTTTTAATTACCGCTTAAGGTCCCTCAGGCTCCGGATCAAGAATCTCCAATAATTCTTAGTTAGTAGTAAATATAACTGGTGTGGTTCGGTTGCAATCATTTTATTTTTCTCTATTCTCACGGTAAGCTCACTTGTTCTAAATTTTTTTTCTATTAATAATTCAATTTAATTTGGTTCTCAGATCTTTAGTTATTCTTTTGTGGGTTTTTATTGTATTTACACGAATTGATCGGGATATTCATTATTGTATATTTTTAAAATTAACTTAAGGTTTTATTTCATCCTTTTTTGCACTCCATTGTTACGAGTGGGGCCTCACTAGTGGTAGTGGTGACAACCCTTCCCTCATTTGTTTGGCTTCGTGGTATTTTGTGTGTATTTCAGGTTAGGGCTTGTGGCTATTAGCGGTGAATGGGAAGTGCGTATGCAGACACTAAAGAACAACCCGGGCGAGTGGCAGCAAGTGGCAGCGGGAGTTGAACGCGAACGTGCTAGGTGAACGCAATATCGTCGTGTATACCAATCCCAGGTTCTACTCGCGGGAGTTGGTACCTCCCGTTTTCTTGTTTTCCTTTGTTGTGTTAGTTAAATTGCTGCCATCTTAGTTCGTATTAGTTTATTTACTGCATTAGTGTTCCTGTAGTTGCAACTTGTCTTCTTCTAGTTTGGTTTATTTCCTTATGTGTGTTACTGATTGACATTAGTCTGTTGTAGGTATAGTGGCTGTGGTGTGGGATGGTCGAGGGAGGTCATGTCCTCGGGGGAGCAGGGGGCGAGGCGGGAGGTAGGGCAGGGGTTAAGAGAAGGGTCGGGAGGAAGGGAGGTAAAGGGAACAAGGGTGTCTATAGGTTGAGAATTGTGTCATGGAATGTAGGTACATTGACGGGTAAGTCTATGGAGTTGGCGAAGATTCCAGAAGAGGGGGGTCAATATACCGTGTGTCCAAGAGACAAGGTGAGTAGGATCGAGGGCAAAGGATGCGAACGGGTATAAACTTTGGTACTTAGGAGTCCAGAGAGGTAAGAGAGTCTGTGGTTGAGATTAGACGAGTGAATGATAGATTGATAATGATTAAGTTAGTGGTTGGAGAGTGCACCCTAAACGTCATTAGCGCTTATGCGTCGCATGCGGGCCTAGATGAGGAGGTTAAACGATGCTTCTGGGAGGGGTTAGATGAGATAGTGCGCCAGGTTTCGCCTGCTAAAAAGCTATTCATAGGAGGGGATTTCAATAGCCATATTGGGTCGACTGCGCTTGGTTATGGTGAGGTGCATGGAGGCTTCGGTTTTGGGGAGAGGAACGGATGAGGTACCTCGCTATTGGACTTCTCTAAGGCTTTTGGGTTAATGATTGCAAACTCTAACTTTCCGAAGAGGGAGGAGTATTTGGTTACTTTTCAAAATGCGGTGGCAAAGACTCAGATTGACTATATCCTCCTCAGGAGGTGTGACAGAGGGTTTTGCAAGGATTGCAAGGTGATTTCGGGTGAGATACTCGTGATGTAGCATATGCTCTTAGTGATGGATGTTGGTATTATGTTGAAGAGGAGGAAAAGGTCTGCTCGAGGTAGACCGAGAATCAGGTGGTGAGCCCTAACTAAGGATAAAGCCCAAGAGTTGGAGGGGTGGTTGTCGGCTATGGGATCTTGGAGGAGCAACGGTGATGCGAGCACCATGTGGTCAGCAACAACAGACTGTATAAGGGAGGTTGCGAGAGGGGTGTTAGGGGTCTCGACGGGCATCTCTGGTAGGCACAAAGGAGACTGGTGGTGGAATGAAGTGGTCCAAGGTTAAGTGGAAGTAAAGAAGGCAGCGTACCTGAAGTTAGTGGAGATCATAGGTGAGGAGGAGAGGTGAGCGTGCATGGAGAGGTATAAGGTAGCTATAAAGGAAGCTAAGATGGCAGTCACAGAGGCTAAGAGTGCAGCTTATGGTCGTATATACGAGGAGCTGGGGGAAAAAGGCAGCGAGAAGAAGTTATTCCGGCTGGCTAAGTTGAGAGAGAGGAAGGCCCGAGATTTGGACCAAGTGAGATGCATCAAGGACGAAGATGGTAGAGTATTGATGGAAGATGTTCAGATTAAGAGGAGATGACAGACTTACTTTTATAAACTTCTGAATGAAAAAGGGGATCGGGATATTGTGCTAGGTGAATTGGAGCATTCTGGGAGCCATCGTGACTTTGGAAAATGCAGGCGTATCAAGTTTGAGGAGGCCGTGAGAGCTATGAGTAAGATGAGTAGGGGTAGAGCGACCGGGCCAGACGAGATTCTGATGGAAGTGTATGGGGAGAACGGGTTTGGAGTGGTTGGTGGGCCTTTTTAATGTTATTTAAGGAGAAGAGGATGCCAGATGAGTGGAGGTAGAGTATAATGGTTCCATTGTATAAGAACAAAGGTGATATCCAGAGCTGTAACAATTATAGGGGTATCAAATTATTGAGTCATACCATAAAAGTGTGGGAGAGGGTGGTTGAAGCAAGGGTGATGATGACAGTGTCTATATCCGACAATCAGTTCGGGTTCATGCCGGGTCGTTCTACTACCGAAGCAATACACCTTGTTAGGAGGTTGATGGAACTATACATAGAGGAAGAAGGATTTGCACATGGTGTTTATTGACCTAGAGAAAGCGTATGACAAGGTTCCTACAGAAGTTCTCTGGAGATGCTTGGAGGCTAAAGGTGTGCCGGTCCCCTACATTATGGCAATTAAGGACATGTATGATGGGGCTATTACTCGGGTAAGGACAGTTGGAGGCGACTCTGAGCATTTTCCGGTTGTAATGGGTTACACCAAAGTTCGGCGCTCAGTCCGTTCTTATTCGCTCTAGTGATGGATGCGTTAACACAGCATATTCAAGGGGAGGTGCCATGGTGCATGCTATTCGCCAACGACATAGTTCTAATTGATGAGTCGCGAGCCAGTGTTAATAAGAGGTTTGAGGTTTGGAGACAGACTCTTAAGTCTAAGGGTTTCAAATTGAGCAGCTCGAAGACGGGATACCTGGAATGTAAGTTCAACACTGAGCCGAGCGAAGTGGGCGTGAATGTGAGTCTTGAATCACAGGTCATCCTGAGTAGGATCTGCTTCAAGTATCTTGGGTCGGTGATCCAAGGGGGATGGGAGATCGACGAGGATGTCACACACCGTATTGGGGTAGGATGGATGAAGTGTAGGTTAGCATCTGGAGTCCTGTATGACAAGAGAGTGCCAACGATACTCAAAGGTAAGTTCTATAAAGCGGTGGTTAGACTGGCCATGATGTATGGGGTTGCGTGTTAGCCTGTTAAGAACTTACATATCCAGAAGATGAAAGTAGCAGAAATGAGGATGTTGAGATGGATGTGCGGGCACACTAGGATGGATAAGATTAGGAACGATGTTATTCGGGAGAAGTTACACGTGGCTCCCATTGATGACAAGATGCGGGAAGCGAGGCTCAGATGGTTTGGGCATGTTCAGAGGAGAAGCCCAGATGCTCCGGTAAGGAGGTGTGAGCGGCTGGTTGTAGAGGGCACGCGAAGAGGTAGATGGAGGCCTAAGAAGTATTGCGGAGAGGTTATCAGGCAGGATATGACAAGACTTCAAATTTCCGAGGACATGACACTTGATAGGAAGATGTGGAGGTCGAGTATTAGGGTTGTAGGTTAGGAGATAGTCGAGTCTTGCCTTACATCGTACCTTTGTGAGAATAGTCTAGTGGAGTTTTTGTCTAAGATAGCTAGTGGCAATGTTGTATCCTACTATCTCGGTTTTTAGTACAGGACCTATTTTACTAACTATATCTTTTGCTTTGCCTCTTTCTTCTAAATTTCATGTTTCTATTTTTTTTCTTTTTTCTATGATTATCGTGGTGATACTAATATTGTCCTCTTTTGTCTTTTTGTTTTCTTGAGCCGAGGGTCTTTCGGAAACAACATCTCTACTCCTTTGGAGTAAGGATAAGATCTGCGTACACACTACCCTCCCCAAACCCCACTTGTGGGATTCTACTGGGTTGTTATTGTTGTTGTTCATCCCATATTTGGTTCGGACAAAATTACGGTATATTTTTTATCTCTATAGAATGGTGGGATAACTAATCCCTTGTTTCCAACTAAACGACCCCTGAGATTCCTAGGAAGGTAATCATTTAACACCATTCTCTTTTACTACCACCATACAACCATCATCACCGGCCATCATTACACAATTATTATTAGCCACAATCACAACTGCCGCTCGCTTTTTCAGTGTGTTGTATTAAGCAAATAGTTTCTACAACATCATGTAAAATAGTATTTTCTCTAATATTTTGCAGATACAATATCTAATTATTATTTTATATTTATTAATTGTTAGATAAAGATCAATTATACACAAAACTATCTCGATTTTCCGGTATTCAAATTTGGATATAATATATCCAGATTTGACATTTTAATTTTAAAAAAAAAACGAATAGCAAGTGTCCAGACTCTAGAGTGTACACTTTCGAATATTGGACAATGTTCCAAGCACTTTGGCAGTAATACATTTTTACCTATGTGATGGAATTCAATGTTTTTGCAGTTTTGTAACATGTCTAACTAATTCTGTTGGATCCATGCATACGGTAAAAATTAGAGGGTCTGATTTTATGATCATTGAGGCATCTCGTAAAGACCCCCCAGAAGGTTCGAAGTTCAGCTCGGGGTTCGACCCCGAGGGTTCTCAATGATCGACCTCGAGGCAGTGCGAATCAGCGGCTACGGTAGACTGATGGAAAGTTCCCAAGGCACGTGACTAAAGCTGACCAAGTCTATTAGGCTAGTTAAAGCCCGTACCGTGACATTAAATGGCTGTACCAGCCCCATATCCTTGTAATAAATGCATTTATACTATGTTGGGATTTTCCCTCGTATATAAAGGGGACCTTTGTTATTTTGTATTCCCTCCGGTTCACAATAAGTATCCAATTTGCTTTTTCATTTTGGTTCAAAATAAGTGTCCAGTTATGTAATCAAGAAAAAATTCAATTTGTTTTTACAAAATAACCCCTATGTACATATCCCTAAAAAGTTTTCTTACTCTTCACATTGAATGTTTAATTAGGGGTATTTTAGTCATACTAGGTATTTTTGTATAAGATTTAGTATTTTCTTAATGGGCGTGCTAAAAGCAAATTGGACACTTATTGTGAACCGGAGGGAGTAAGGGATATACAAGATACGATACACAATATTGAATACAAGAACATTCTCTACTCTCTAACTTAAACATATTCTCCCTTGATTCTATTATTTACATTTATTGCTTACATTTATTATGTTCTATTAATTGTTCTTCATTTATTGCTCATTGTTGATCATAAAGAGCCTTCATCAAAGCTCTCAAAGTTGTTAGTCCTTTACCGGCTGTCCGTAACTTAGTATCGAGCTCGACCTCGAGGCCCCGTATAACCAGGCTCGAGGCCCCGATTCTCAGCCACTGGTTTGCTTAAACATACCGTTTTTGACTTCTTATCTTATTTTCTTGTCTCACACTTAGCATCTATTACCTAACAAGTAGCATAAAAACAGATCACGTATTTTTAGAACCACAAAACCAAATCTAACTGTAATTACCATTTTAAGGTAAACAATCCAATTTTGTAACATCGTAGGTTTAGAAGCAGTATATTTTAGTTTGAAAATGAGATATCAATTTTTTTTTAATTACCACAGGCCGATGCCCTTGCCTAAAATTTGCAGAATACATATTTGGACTCAAACATCCTAGAGCATCTTTGCCTTTTTGTTTGCAGAATAATTGTAAAAATCCAGAAGAAAATAAAGTAAACAAGCTACTTTTGAGCATAAAATTTTCTTTATATGTTACTATTGTAAACTAGTCTTTTTACAAGTCACAATCCAAATTTTTCTCTCTTTGCCTAAAGACTGCTCTACGCTCTGTGCATTCCATATTTAACACACGTGATATTTATATCATCATATTAAAAAAGAAGAAAAAATAAAAAGTAAATGCATCCCATCAGACTGTACAAAACGAAGAAGAGGATAACTAGGAGCATAGTCCCTAACCCAAACAAACCTTCTCCATCATATGAAACAGAACCAGTAGTGCTTTCCTAATAGGTAGCAGATGATATATTTTGTATAGGAATGAATATTGACAGCAAGTATATAATAAGTGTCAAGGAGATAGGAAATAACAATGTTAGAAGAAGAATGGTGGGACCTCCACCTATGCCAGAAATTGTTGGCCAAAAAATGAACAGACTAAGAAACCCAACAATTATTGAAGGAACCATTGGTGATGGCCCTTTGTTGCCCATTTTTTGCTTAATAATAACACTTAGCCTGTTATATCAATTGACTAGAAAAAATATGCAATTTTCTGACATCAAAATAGGAGAATATAAAGTAGACCTGTTAGCTGCAATAATCATGGTCACATCACACTTGTGCTTTCCTTTGGAGGTTAATGTCTAAGCATGTTCCAAATAATTATTCTTCAAAGAATATGTTAAACACTTGTTGGATCAACTAATTGTTTGCTAGCTTTCTTATATAACTCTAAACAAGAAATTCTGATAATGACATCAAGAATGACTTTATTCATGACAATTGAAACCAACTAATTGTAAAAATAGCACGGACCAGCCAGTTTTCGGACTAGTCATTCAAAAATAGCCAGCGTTTGCAGAGTCATTGAAAAATAATCACTATTTTGTTGCAACACGGAAAGTTCCAGCATAATATACTGGAGATCGGTGAACCTGCATATGAATTTCCAACATATTTTGCTGGAACTTCAATACGCGAAAAGTTCCAGCATAATATACTGGAGATTGGAGCACCTATGTATAAACTTCCAGCATATTATGCTGGACTGGTATATTATAGTGGAATTCCAGTATACTATGCTGGAGTATTTTCCGGATTTTGAACAGTGTTTTAGTTCAGATTATCTTTACATGAAAAGTGACAAAATTTCGACTACATTTGAAACGCCCTTAACCTTAAGAAACATATCCCCAAAAAACCTTTAAGGGGCACCAACATAACAATTTTACAATGTGAGAAACAATTGTGCAACATGCACTCCAGAATCTAAATGTATAGCTATCAAATGGAACTCACATTGGTTTTAAACACCTATAAGGTCAGAAGAATATCATCATTTGCACCTCATCATCTCATGTATCGGGTTGATACATCGAGATAGAATTTTGAAGCATTTTCTTTTGCGAAATCAGTTAAACCTAACACAAGCTTCCCATAATATATATTTTGGCATGCTATATATGAACCTTCCTAATAAATGTAATAGGTTAATACCCTACAGCTTGTTACAACAACATTTTATACATAACACAGGGGAACAGATGAAGCTAATTGACCTATAACTATCTTTCCTTCGCTGCAGCCAACTCATTGCGGGGGATGATATCGCAAATGCTGCTCATAGTAGTTTATCAACTGCCAAAGAAAAAACATTTCCAGTAAGTGTCATCAAAGTAAAGCTGAAGGAATTCATTACGTTAACTTCCCTCTAGACTCTCAAAATAAAATAAACTCAGAAAATACTTTCTGAAACTAGAGGTAGAAGTAGATTTATACATTTATCAAATAGCAATCATAATAACAAAATAGAACGATGTAATGTTTCTTTTTAACTTATTACAATATGTTGAGGTATTTTATCTGAAGTGATAATCCAAAATTATTAGTGAGACTTTAATCAGAAAAATAAGATCTGAGGAAAAGATAAACTTTATATCAAAGTAACTAATTAATATTTCCAGGCACAATCAATATCTTACGAAACAAATGTAGTACTTTTGAACCATTACAAAATAAGTTATGCGGAACTGAGAAATTTCTGTTAATAATACATGAAAATATAAGATCAGTGCATTTTTGGTGATGAAAGAACCAATAAGAGAGAAGAGAAACAGCTACCAGAAGTGGATTATTCATCTTCAGAAACTTGTTATCCACCATCACTTCCTTACCGTCAGACCTGCAGACAACCATTTAGAAATGCTAATGTGAACTAAAAACTAATGAAAGAATCAGCATAGTATCATCAAACTGAACAGTTAGGGAGTACTGATTTATCTAGCAAGATGTGTACAAAAATGGGTAATCCAAGAATTGAACTTGAAACTGTCAAGTTCATGCTCCCTCCATTAAGAATGGAAGGAGAAGGGTGTAATCACACTGGTTACATAACATCTTACATGCATACATCATACTGCTGTTACAGAGCAAACAGGAGACACAACTTCCCCACACACACACAAAAAAAAAAAAAAAAAAAAAAGAAGAAGAAGAAGAAGAAAGAAGAAGGTGCCCCTTGAAGTATTACAATTCAGTTCAGATGTAGAGGTAACAACAGAATGATTCTGAAAATTGATTTGAAAATTTGAGAACTGTTAGCTTATCCTGACGATACCAAAGAGTTTCTTCCTTACATCAATTTTCGCAGACAGGTGAGCAAAACACAGCACAAAGCAAAAGAGAATATCGCTTTTATAAAAGGAGCCAGAAGTCAGATTGGATTTGGTTTTTTATATGAAAAAGGGTCTAGTTAGATCCAGGTTTAACTCTCAAGAATGGACCTTCAAGATCAATGGGAAAGTGAATAAAGTACTGCTTTTCCACTGATATTCCCATATGATAATAGTTCATCTGAAGTTCTTGGGAGCAGCAACAGTTAAGACAACGATCCTTTATCACCACCAATTTTTCTATATGTCATGGAGGTCCTTATCAAAATGAGAATACACAAACAAATTCTGGAAAGGAAAATCAATCCTCATGAACTAGGTTTGATGTGTGGTGCAGAGTGGCTTATCTTTCTACTAAATAGTTGAATTTACCTTCAGGACGAAAGTTTAGTGGATTTTCCTACCAAATGATTGATTTGCCTTTAGAGTAGAAGTTTAAACACATTAAAATATGGCAATTAACGATCTAGAAAATTGGCAGGAGAACAAGAGGGACGACGATGCAATATCTGTAAAAAGGAGAAAACACTCCCTCAGTAAGTGAAGTATTCCACTTATTTGCTTGTTCCCCACACAATTAGTAAAAATTGATATGGAACGAGCTTACAAGATACATCGGATTTACCATAGGGAATGACAATCATGTTCAAGTTTAATTGGTAGTTTTGTGTGGATATTAAGCTCTGAAAGATCAGTCGTCTTGTTTATTTAGGATCACAATGTATCAGGATGCATTTCCAATTTCATATGAAGAGACGGAAACAAAGTACCTGGAGATAACTTTCAGGAGACCTATCCGAGACCGAGAATGTGATGACGTTGATTTTGGAAAGCATTTACAAGTATAACAAGTTCGTAAAAGCAGACGAAGTATTATAAACAGGTCATCAACAAAATATTTGGCGATGTCATACAACGACCTTCTAAGAGGTGCTGGTGAGTCAAGAATCATGTTGAGCTCTATATGAAAGACAAATGCTCCTAAGAAAGTGACTTTCTTTCTTTATGTGGTGCACAACTCCAAGCACTATAGTCACTGAGTAAATTTTGAGTAGTAGTAGGAGATAGATAATAGTTAGTTGGTGTTCTTTTTAAGGTAAATGATGATGATGTGGACCATTGACTACTTCCAACTCCCCACAGAAATTTGGTCCCTAATGTCTTTTATATTTGATAAGGCATGGAAGCTACATAGAGCCATGGAAGATACACTAGAGAGTTGGATTAAGAAAATAGGACTTCAGGAAGGAGTTGCAGAAGGGTGCTCCTCTTTGCATTTTTTGGCTGATTTTGAGGAAAATAGTAATAGAATCTTTTAATGGGGTTGATATGTCCCCATGCAGAGTAAGGCTCCTTCTGCTTCCAATGTGTTTGTGTAAATGGATATCTCATATTGTATATATAGCTGGCAGAATATTTTTTGAGGCTTGATGTGATCCCACATTTATAGTGACAGTGTATTGGTTTGATATCAATGAAATGATATTGAGTCCAATGAAATAAATGAAATGTTAAGATATTACACATTCTTAGTATCATAGAAACCCAATGACACACGTGACGAAAGTCAGCTGGCAAACATAGAAAATAGGGATGTAAGTTTTAAGTCACCAACCTCTTGGCAAGAAAGGTTATTGAGACGTCCTGCATATCATTGGATAAAGATGTTGAATAGCTCATAGGCTTGACTATATGTGTAATTGTATATGCATCTTTGGAATCATCAGACTTGTTTTTAAGAACAAAGCCACTACCCACAACTTCAAGATTGTGACTTCCTTCCTGCACAGATGTAGCCAACGGACCACCTACTGCAGCATCTTGGATACTATCCATCACAACTGCGGTAGACTGTTTAAACCTCCGAACAGAACCAGATTTCCTCTTTTTAGCTCCAGTGCAGCGATCAGATTGAAGAGACTCTGCACCATTGACCTTTGCAAATCCATTTGAGAGACCATTAGCAGATCTATCCACAGAGTTTTCATTGGTTGACATTGCTCCTTTTAATTCACTCAACTTCAAATTCAACTCATTTTGCTCTCTTGTTTCCTCTAGAGAGAAGCCCAACTCCAAACCATTGTCATTCATCACTTTGTCCTCTTTGCTGTTCAATTCACTACCATTACTGTCCATATGACTTGTAGCCTTCAAACCATTCAGAGGAGGTGAGGGTGTAGGATTCTCAATTATCCTAACCTTCACTGCTGGCACATTATATGTAGCATCTGCAGGGGAACGCTGCTGCTGCTGCTGCTGCTGCTTTTTCTTGGGCTGAGTGTGCATCACCCCAGATTTTCGCTTACGCTTGCGTGTGGATCGTTGTTTCCCTGACTGCAAGCTTCAAAGTGAAAAGGCAAACAGATCAAGAAAGGTGCCACAGGTTAACAAGTCAGCTAGCCCTTATACACAAGATCACTATAAGGGACAAAAAAAAAGGATTATAAATAGAACTAACCTCTCTTCAAATGATTCAATAACATCAGAACAGGACATCAGATTCTTCACAGGTTCCCATGTATTTGCCGTCTCTGGCCAGCCTCGCCTGTACAACAACACCCATCACATCTATCACCTACACAACCTTTTTTCTTTTTTCACATAGTTTACAGGAAGCAGAAAAAACCCAACTGGACAGCGACTACGATGAAGCCACTGAAATTCTGGAAATACTAACTCGTGCACTATGGTTCGAATAACAGCCACTTAGCCACTGGGCTGTCCCGAGGAACTCTCTCCTAGAAACTTCAAAAAATGGGAACTTGGAGCCAAAAACTACAACAAAATCTAAAATTTTCAGTAATTATATAGAAACACTTACCATTTAATCAAATATTGAACTTGACCCTTTAGTTTCCACAGCATTTCCAAGATTCCCATATCCATAAAAAATCACAGAAATTAATGCCCAAAAATAAGGATAAAAATATCAAAAGATCAATAAAACTACTTCACATAATCAATGCAACCAATAAAACAGTTCAAAACAGAAAAAAACCTTTCGTATTCTTTTTCTCCTAACAGCTTCAATTTCATAAAACCCTTCAGCAAGTTTTGGTTTTTCATTATCAGCTTCACCATCATACCCATCTCCTTCCATTTCAAACTCCTCTTCATAAGTTTTTTCTTCATTCTCTTCTTCTTCTTCTCCGGTCTCCGGCGAAGCCACCAGCTCCTCCTCGCCGTCGCCGGCGGCATCTTCTGGAACTTCATCTCTCTCTTGCTGATGCTGCTGAGCTTCTTCTCCTTGAGGTTCCGACATACCGTCCGACGGCAACTCACGGTTACCGTTGCTGGGTTCCGACGGGGGTTTTAGGGAGTCTGTAGCTGCCGGAATGCCGGAGTTTTTCTTTTTCCCTCCTTTCATTCTCTCTCTCTCTAAAAGGCTTTTCCTTTTCTTTTTATTTTATTGATTTATTTTGATTGATGTGAAATGTTCTTTTCCTAAATACTTGTCTTGAGAATGAAAGGTTTATACTCTCTTTTTTTGAAAAAAAGATTTTTTTTTTCCTTCCATTTCACTGATAATCAACCTTTTTGTATCGAATTCTCATTTTTCTTTAATTATTAATTACTGTATTATTTATTAAGGAATAAATGATAACTTTATTCCCATTGTATTTTGCCTTTGTTTTCTTTATTTTTAACTTTTTTACTTATTTTTTTTCTTAAATAATCATCAACGGAAATATACTTTCTAAATTATGTTATGATGGTCATATGGACACTAATATTGCTATACATATCTTGTGGACATCTTTAAAACTTTCCTTAATACATTAGATGGTAATCCTATTATGCAAAACCAGCATTTATTAAGTTGTTTGAACTTGAATCTTATTTTTAATTACATTAATTTTGTATTTGTCAATGTTATAAGATCTGATATTTAATGCTAAACCAATTTATTATGTAGTTCAAATTCATCCTCTTTATCTACCGGATTTTTTCTTATATTTCATGTCTGCATTAAAAGTTAACGATGTGCAATAAAGGAAGTAATATTTCTTTTGAAGATTTGTACTCATAAATATCAACTACTAAAAATTTGGATATTAAAGTTCTATAGCAAAGTTAACGAAAGCCGATACTCTAACATTTGAGCTTTTTTCTCTCAAAAATTAAAAAACAAAGACAAAATTACAACAACTTTTTAGAGTATTACAATTTCTTACATTAAAATCATCTAATAGTTAAACAGCTAATACAATTTTTATTGTATACATTACTCTAAGTTTTAAGGATTTCATCCAATTAACATCAGCATCTGTTAAAATTTAGTTAATGATCTTAAAGTGGTTTTAACTAAGAAATTTGGACCAAGACATTATTTTTCAAATCCAAATTGGATTAGAAGCGTTTTTCCAAGAAAATAACAGTGACTTTTTTAGTAGACCTAGGTTTTAAAGGTAGCAAGTATACTTGGTCTTACAAGAGGTACAAAAATAGGCCTTGTCTAATCATAGAAAGAATTGACAGGTGCCTTGCTAACAACCAATGGATAAATGAGTACCCAAAAACTAACATTACTCACCTTCCCAGGACCCATTCTGACCACTGTCCCATGCTTGTCAAACTAAGCAATAACAGTCATACTCCTCTCAATAAACCCTTTAGGTTTGAATTAATGTGGTGCAGCCACCCTCTGTTTCAAAACTTAATTAGGGATTCCTTCAAGCCTGATTCTACTCTAATCCCTTCCACCATCTTGTTCAAGGATAATGCTCTCAAGTGGAATAAGCATACCTTTGGAAACATCTTCCACAAAAAAAAAAAAAAGGCTGCTAGCAAGGATAGCAGGGATCTAAAAATCCCCTCTTTATCCCATTAGCACCTCTATGCAAGTTCTTGAAAGCAACCTCATTGAAAAACTTAGCTCTATCTTGAAGAATGAGTAGGACTTTTGGAAAATGAAGGCTAGAATTCAATGGCTCTCAGATGGAGATGCCAACACAAAATTCTTCCACACCTCCACTCTAAATAGAAGAAGGAGAAATAAAATCCTTTGAAGAAGGAGAAATAAAATCCTTTCCCTCAAAGATGACTCTGGACAGTGGATATTTGAGCCTGGGGAAATCAAGCAAGCAATCTCAAAGTTCTTCCAAGAACTTTATACATCATCCATCCCCCAGTCCCAGAATAGCTTGTCCTCCACTCAAATCCAGGGTCATTGCCTCTCCCAGATTCAGCAAACAACAATTGAGATAGCTTTAAGGGATAGTGAAACTAAAAGTGCCATATTCTCCTTCAAGCCTTTCAAAACTCCTAGACTTGATGGCCTTCACCCCTTCTTCTATCAAAAATACTGGGACATATCTAATTCTGCAAGACATGTTTCTCCACATCAACTATGAATCTAGTCATGAATGAAACCCTCATGTGCCTCATTCCAAAGTGCCCCCAAGCCACAATGATCAAAAACTTCAGGCCCATAGGCTTATGTAATACTGTTTATAAGACAGTAACAAAAATCATTGTCAACATAATCAAGCCTTACCTCCCTTACATCATTGGGCCTAGTCAGGCTAGCTTCCTCTCCAATAGAAAAGCTTCAGACAATGCCATCAAAGTCCAAGAATACATCTCTCACTTTAGGAAAATGGGAGGAAAATCCTATAACATGATCCTAAAGATTGACCTGCAGAAGGCTTTTGACAGACTAGATTGGTCTTTCATTAAGCAAAACCTCAATGTTTTCAAATTTCCAAACACAATCATCAAGCTCATCATGTCATGTGTCAGCTCCTCCACCATCTCTGTAATTATCAATGGAGAGCAAACTAATCCCTTCATACCCACTAGGGGCATCAGAGAGGGTGATCCCCTATTCCCTTACCTGTTTATCATGTGTATGGAAAGACTTTCAAGACACATTGACAATAATGTCCTTCAGGGTGAGTGGCACCCCATCAGCATTAGCAGAAGTGGCCCTAAGATATCACACCTATTCTTTGCCGATGATCTAACTCTTTTTATAACAGCTAACCAAGCAAGTTGTAACACAATCATGAATACTCTCAATTCTTTCAACTTAGCATCTGGGCAAAAGATCAACCTTACTAAGTCTAAAGTCTGTTTCAGTGCAAACTGCCAACCTCACCAAATGGAGCTCATCTCAAACACCCTTTACATAAAAGCTTCAACAAACTTTGGAAAATACCTGGGTTCCCAATCTTTCACAAAAGACCCATTCATAATGATTTCCAATTCATTATTGACAATCTCCACTCTAAAATGGCTGGGTGGAAAACAAACATGTTTAACATGACTGAGAGAACCACATTGGCAAAAGCATCTCTGAACTCAATCCCAAATCATGTAATGCAATACATTAAACTACCAGCAAAAACAACCAAAGAGGTTGATAAAGTTCAGAGGAATTTTATCTGGGGCACTATGCCACCAAAAGAAAGATGCATATGGTCTCATGGGATACAGTCACTACGCCTATGGATAAGGGGGGCTGAGAATCCAGAAAGCTGAATTGAAAAACAAGGCCCTCCACTCTGGTCTTGCCTGGAGGCTATACCAAAATCCATCAACCCTATGGGCAAAAACTCTGATTGCAAAATACTGCAATTGGAGGATCCCACCAAAAAAAGCCAAGTCTCACACCTGGCAATGCATTTTAAAAGGGTGGGAAACTTGCATGAAAGCAAAAAGATGAGTAGTGCATTAATTCAGGAAACAAAGTTAGTTTTTTCAATGATCCTTGGATAAACAACCTCCCAGCTATAAGGTCCCTTATAGAAGGTCCACTGACAAGAGATGACATGACCAAAACGGTTGCCTCTGCTCATCATAATGGAACTTGGGATCTCTCTACACTATCTCTCACCATCCCCCAAAACATCCAAAATTCAATCTATAACACCTTCATTCCATCCAACCCAGTTGAGGAAGATAGAATGATCTGGGGAGCCACTTCAAATGGAATCTATTCCACAAAATCTGCCTACTCACTCTTGGATTCTTGCCAACACCAAGGACAGGAAATCATGTCCCACAATTTTTTGTGGATCTGGAAGCTGAAAGTTCCCAAAAAGATTCAGTCCTTTTTCTGGTTACTATTCCATGACAGGGCCCCACTGGAGCTTATCTCCACCATGTTGGGATACAAGCAGACCCCATGTGTCACCTGTGCAGTCAGGCGAATGAGACATCAGTACACATTTTCTTTGAATGCACCAACTCCAAAATCTTCTGGCAAGATATCATCTCACAAAGTACCAAAACAACCAATGCTCTTATACCACATTTCACTACTAGGGGTTGGCCAACCATATGGGCATCACTTAAGAAAGAGCATTATAACAGCATCATTACTTGGGAATAACTTCTCCCTTTCTGCTTCTGGCAAATATGGCTCACTAGGAACAATAATATCTTCAATAATAAAAAAGAAAGGGCAGATTCAAAATGTGCTATAGCTAAGGCCACTCTTACGACTTGGATTTCCTACCCTCGGGAGTCGTGATGGCGCCTAATCGTGAAAGCTAGGCAAGCCAAATTTAATTACTTTTCATTAACAACATAATCCCTTTTTAACAATTATTGGCAATAATAATAAAAGCAACGAGATTAAATAATAAGCGGAAGTCTTAACATTATATAAAACTGAATAGAAATGCGGAAAGTTCAACAAAATCCTCTATCTAAGACTGGTGTCACTGTACTCACGAACTGCTAAGAATACTAAATACAAACGTCTGAAAGTAAACATAAACTGTTTGTCTCGAATACAATGAGATAACAGACTAAAAGAGAGGATAAGGGAGACACCGGGCCTGCGGACGCCTGCAAGGCTACCTCGGGTCTCGCTGGACTGAAGGCCTACTCCCACACTAATACTGCTACTGCTGCTGCCCGAAACCTGGATCTGTGCAAAATAGCACAGAGTGTAGTATCAGCACAACCGACCCCATGTGCTGGTAAGTGTCTAGCGTAACCCCGGCGAAGTAGTGACGAGGCTAGACCAGACTACCACATAAACCTGTGCAGTTTCATATATATACAGCGGAATCGAAATACAAAACAGATAAACAATATGGGAGGGGAAGCATGCTGTGGGGAGTATAAAAATTTCCAAATAAGAGTCATCCAGTAACAAAGGAAAACAACACAACTCAAAAGTATGCAATGAAACAGAAATCAATAGGTGCACGGCATCACCCTTCGTGCTTTTACTCTCATTCCTCACATATATCAATAGAATCGGCACGGAATGGTACATCGTGTGGCACGGCATCACCCTTCGTGCTTTAACACTCTTTTCGCATAATAAGCGAACATTGCACGGCATTACCCTTCGTGATTTACACTCTTTCCTTACCATACTCAAACAATGCACGGCATCACCCTTTGTGCTTTAACACTCTTCCTCACCCAAACAACAATCACAAACAAGGGCAAGGGAATAAATAAACAATATTGGAAATCTCGG